TCGAGCCCCTGGGAGTCGTTTATATTTAAAAAAGGCGTTATATAGACTTAAGGAGTGCCTATTACTTTAGTAAAAGCACTTTTCGGCTATCCTTTTAGCGGACGGTTTTTAGATAGTGCTATAGGAACCGTGCTATTTTCTACGACGTGGTTTAATTCTATTCTTCTACGTCGACGATATCGTTATTACTTATAAGGAATAATATAAGGCGTAGATAGAATAGGCTATTAATAACCTATAATGCCACTATAACCTATAAGATAGCGATCCCCTATAGTGGTTCCTTAGTATTAAGGTTATTCGCGACCGCGTCGCCCGTAAAATCTAGCTATCGTAACGCGATTATATTATAAAATTAGAACGCCTTTTAAAGCTAAATAGTAATAGTAAGCATAGCAGTAATTATTGCTTAACGCACCTAATTAGAATTGCAGAACTACTACTCTATTTAAGGACCTCGACTAACGTTACAAGCTATTAACGAAAGATAGAATCTATGATATACGTAGCAGTGATATAGCGGCCTGATATCGTGTTTGTAGTATCCAGGCTATACCGCTTTAACGTTAATCTAAGGCCTATACACCACGAGGCCGTAGATTATCTTATCCTTTATCTGATTAATAGCTAATCGTTTACGTTAGAACTAGGGGGTGGCGATACTATCGAAATCTATACTAACGCCTTATTTACCGATAATACCCTTAATCGTAAGAGCAGTTAAGCGTTCGTGATACGCTTATTTAGCGGTATAATAGCGTAGCATGCTAATAAGCAGGATACGATCATAATGTTAATAACGGAAGCAGAGCTATTAGCGTTAGTATAAGGTGTAAAAGAGGGTATCTTTATATAACGCCTATTATTTAGTATAGGAGTGGAATTTAACGATCCAGAATTAAGGATCCTATACGATAATAACTTAACGATTCGATTAGTTAATTAAGAGATTAGTACGCTAATAACGCGCCTCCGCCACGTCGATATCCACGGCCACTGGTTACGTTAAGTAAAGGAATAAGAGTAGATACTCGTGACGTACGTTACGAGCGCGGAAATAGTGGTAGACGGCCTAATAAAGGCGTTATACGACGAGAGATTTAAGATATTTAGGGCCTAGGTGGGTATAATAGATATACGGGACCGGCTATAGTAAAAATAGCTAGAGGAAGTCCGGATAAAGCATTTAGGGGACCTAGAGGATAAATTTAAGAGCGGCTATAGCGAATAGATTGTATAGCTGGATTATCTACCGGTTATAAATAGCTTTAATCGCCTAACTAACGTTTAGGGTAATTAGGGGGTATATTAAATAGACTATAGCCTATTCGTGGATTAGTGGATTTACTGTTACGTAATAGGCCGGATTGCTAAGCTTATAATCCGGGTAGACACCTGCAGAATCTTCACCACTAATATTATGGTGGCAGGAATTCTCTAACGGTCGTTCAGAGTTATAGTATACACACAACTAACTTAATCAAATTTTGACCGTTTTTATAATGATTTTGACTACGCCTTATATGACAGCGCTTAGCGAATACTTAAGCTAGCACGAGAAGATCCTAGTATACTCTAATTTGGATAGTGTCCTACGTATTAAGGATATCTAGGCTATTTAGGTAGTTAAACTCTTATCCGTGGAGGAGACCGGTATTAAGCCTCGGAACTACCTCGGCTCTAATATATAATCGGCCGATCTTTATATTATCACCTATTATAATATAAACTAGCACGGTAAAGATAGCCTATCCTAGGGTTTTGATTAATCCTACGCTATATAGCGTAGCCTACTTAGTAGGATTAACCTGCTTATCGGGGAATCGATTTAGGAGGTAATAGCTTACTACGTGGCGGGAGGCTCCTAAATCGATATAAATTTTAAGTAACGCGCCTATTAGCGTGCTATAGGCCTAGATCCGGGCGTATATATAGTCGTAAGGTTTATTCAATAGATCCCTTATTTCCTAGAAAGTACCGTTAATTAGTGTTAAGTCCTATTCGTCCTACGTTACTAGTCAGTATGGCTAGACGTATTTCGTCTTATATTAAAGGGTCTTATTATTAGATCTTATAGCTTAGTAGTATTTATTATACTCTCGGCGTACTTAGTAGAGATTAGAATACTTAGGTATAAATCCGGGTTTATTAGTAACCTAGTATAGTTAGTTACTCCGTCTATTACCCGCGCTATTATTATCCTCGGAATCTATAAAGCCCTCGGAGTCTACTTTAGCGTAGTAATACTTATTCTTAGGCTTTATATTGGTATTATCTCCGGATATAAGTTCCGCGGCGGTTTTTTCGGCGGAGGCGTTTACTTAGTCTTAAGGGCGGTCCTTAGCATAATCCCTATATCGATAGTTAGATTATTTATTAGCATTATAGGTTAGGAGTTATTAACCCTTATTATTAGTAAAGTGGTTAGTATTAGGTATAGGCAGAGCGCGGTTCTCGCTTTAGCGACGGAACTAGCTAGGGCTAAGGGAATAACGGTCTAGTTACGGTATACGATATTACTCGGGTATAGGACTAGACTGGCGGTTATAATACCTTAGGGTAGGTTATTATACTACTATAATAAGCGGTATAGAGCTATAAGATCCGCGGATTTTTTAGCTCGCCCTAGCTAGACTATATTGGTTAATATAATACTTTTATATACCTTAGATATAGTTCTAATACTACCTTAGTATTAGGCTAGCTAAGGAGTTTATAAAGTCGGCTTACTTTACCTTAGGTCCTAGGCGGACCACGGTAACGGTTAGGTTAGCGTTAAGCTTATCCTAAATAATAGATAGGAACTTTTCTTTAAGTTTATTAAAGGCCTTAGCGAGTTAGACTACTTTATGAACGAATACGCGGATATTATAGCGGTTTACGATATTTTCTAGGCTATACCTTTCCTTATATAGTCTATACTCGGCTTCTTCGCGCGGGAGCCGGAATCAGCTTTTTAGGCTATCTTTTTAATCCTTTAAAGTAGCTTTCTTACTATACTACTTATAGAGTCCGAGGTCTATAGTTATTAACTATTTAAAGGCTTTACCTAGGAGGTAATAGGAGATAATACGTATAAGGGCTTCCCGATACCCGGGGCTTATACTAGTATACTATTTTATAGTATCCGTAAAACAGAATATATTAAGAAAGATAAGTTTAGTTCTTTCTATACGAATATCTTAAATAATAGTAAAGTACTCTAGCGGGTTAAAATATCCGAGGTTATCCGCCTTAAAACGGACTTATATTATTATAGCTATAATCTGTATTAGAGCTCTCTGATAATAATAAGTAAATTGGATTAGCGTATATACGTTTAGTCTCCGCTTATAAAGGGCGGTTAGGTTAACGCTAAAGAAGGAGGGGGTATTTTATCCGGTAGTCCGCGGTCTTAGCGGGTATTAGCGTAACTAGGCCCGGGTATACCCGCGCTAGACGCTATACTTTCAGTATTAACCGGGTAGTTAGCTAAGAAAGCGCGGGTAAGGGCGTTAGAAGGTTAGTAATCTATAATAGTAGTATAATAGGTAATAGTCTTAGCGGGAGAGATATAGGATATAAGCGATTAGTATACAGAGGATTTACTTAAGGAGTATATTAGTTCCTCTTCCTTAATCATAGGTTCTTTATGTATTATCTTTATAGTAAAACAGATAAGGAGTATAATCGGTTTTATATTCTTAAATAAAGGTTTACCTAATATAGCTAAGTTAAGCGATAGCCTATTAAGTCCTGCTATTATTATTTAATTAATGAAGGGTATAGCAGAGATAAGTTTAGTAGAACTTATCCCGGTTAGACTATATTCCGCTAGTTTATCCTTTAGCTTATCCGAGGTAATCGGCGATAACGGACTAATAGTAAACGCTTTAATAACTTATTTACCCTTTTTCTTATCGGTTCCGTCTATACATACTAAAATCTCCTAGTATTTCGGCTTATAAATAAGCTATTTTTTAAATACTATAATAAGATAATTAGGATTAGCTACCTAGATCTTCGGATATACGCCTTTAGGCGTAAAGACTAGCTTCTACGCTTTTCCTTTTAAGGGTATTACGCCGCTAGCTTTAGGGTTCCCCGGTATATTTATAGCCGATTAAAGGATAGCGAGTAGCGTAATTTACTTTAGGAGGAGAACGTTTTTTATAAGGTATAGGTAGTCCTTACTAAAATTTAGGAGAGGCTAGGTTCTTTTTATATTTTGTAGGAGGGGAGGATAATTATTAGGAAGGTTTATATCGGTTATAATATTAAAGCTAAGGATCTATAATAGGTGCTTTAGTATAGGTTAGTATAATCGCTTTTCCTATACTATAACTAATAATTATAGATTCCTTATATACTATACGCTTAGGTCTAGTAAAAAGGAGGCGTTTTCGCCTAGCACGCTAATAGGTTTACTAGTAAACCCGCGTAATCCGTATAATTATAGTCCTTATAAGCTATACCGGGTAATAATAGGCGAACCTTACCTAAAAGCTTTAGTTATTACTATTTAATATATTATATCTAGGTATAACTCTAGCTAGCTAATACTATAAGACCTAAACGGATCTAGGATTTAATATACCTTATCCGGGCACGACTCTAGCTAGCTAGCACTATTAGACCTAAGGAACCTCGGATATAGAGGGTAACCTTTACTATAGTAAAAGAGGTATAATAAAGATACTCTATCTAAGCTAAGGGGGCGCGCCCCCGGGATTTAAGTATCCACGGGTAAACCCCGTAAAATCCTCGGTTTCTACGTATAGGAACCCGGGGGATTCCCCGGTATTCACTAATTATACCCTAGGGGAGCTATAGTATACCCTAAAGGTACCTATAGTATACCCCGTGGGTGCCGCGGCTTATACTATAATACTATTAGGGTACCCCGTGGTACGCCCTGGTATTCCCGGTAGAATCTAGGGCGTATTATTTATCGAGAGAATGAGGTCTGGAATAAGTTAAGTGCTGCTTATTAATATTAGGTAATAAGAGGGCTTGCGAGAATGGCGGGTAAGCGGCTTAACGACCGTTTCCTGGAAATCTAACGGCCGGTGGCACGCCTTAATCCGGGACGTCAACGCCAACAAGGGGGGTTACGAGCCCCTCGTGACCATCCAGTTCGGGCACAACAACCAGAAATTAATGGGACTGGAAGAGTTCAGGGAAAGCCTCCTGGGCATCGTCTCGGAGATCTAGGCCGCTGGTGGAACGCCGGCGAGTTCACCGAGCGCTGTATGGGCTGCAGACAGACCGTAGACCATGGTTGAATATAACCCTTAGCACATTCGAGAACGGAGAGGTAATCCAGAACCTCAAGGAATGGGCCGAGGAGACCATCGCGACGGTGGGATCCAGCGAGGTGGACATCCTCGATCTCAACCTGGTGAGCACCAACTACGTAAACGCCATGGGCCAGAGCGACGCATAATACTACAACCTAGCGTCGGATGACCGCACGCACCTGAACCCGGTGGGGGAGATTGTGTTCGGCCGCATAATGTTGGACTTGTTGCTCCGCGAGCGGGAAGACCTCGGGGGTTATTTCGACGCGAACGAGGCGCTGGGCGAGAAGATTGCCAACAGAAATTCGCGACCGGAGATGAGTAAGGTAGAGCAGAGCCAATAAACGATAGAGATATTATAGGAGAATGGTTTTAGTTGTCAAAACGAACGGAGGTGCGGTCCTGCATGTGTTCCGTACTCCGTATGATGCCAGGCCCCATCATGTAGCTAGCCCACATGCTGTTGGTGACTTGGAACAACCAGACCCCACTGCAAGCTGCACGTTAGTCACTTTCTGAGCCTACTGGCGCCTAAGCCTTGGCTGTTGGCTGCCCTTTTCATATTGTCGCGCCTTTTTTCAGGCTCACTCAAAATCAACTTGACCCCTCCACCACCGTCCTCCCCTTATGTCTTCCTCCCTTCCTCACTCACTCACACTCAACTCCAAAGCAGTGGCCACCACTCTTGTCACCATCAAATCCAATCTAGACAACAAAACGCATTACAGATACATACGTCCTGTCGAGTAACCCAAAGATAGTGGGAGAATCATTTATTCATTTGATCTGGGTTAGGTTCGAACTAATCGTGGGTCTGTTTGCACGATGGATATTCCCGTGCCACCTGCGGAGCCAGAGACATCAGTTCCCCTCCCTTTCTATCTAGATGAATCTCTTCTTCCGGCTCCTCTTCCCAGCATCGAGGAGATCGCTGCTTCGCCACATGTTCTACATGAGTACCCCAGTCGCCGCATTGTGCGTGTCGGCACACACTTCGTCGTCAAGTACGGAGGATCAGTGAGCTTCCTTGAAGGCGAGAATATGCTTTTCGTGAAGAAATCCACCACCATCCCTCTCCCCACTGTGTACGCCATGTATTCTCGCCAGGGGACGCAGATACCGATCAATTACATCGTCATGGAGTTTATCCCGGGGATATGCTTGCGGGACAAATGGGCGTCTCTGGACGAGTCTTCTAAATCGGCCGTGACAGGCCAGCTCCGAGAGATCTTCTCTGAACTACGACAGATACCATCACCAGGCTATTTTGGTGTTATTGGACGCCGACCTTTTGATGATTCCATCTTCTGTTCGAACGTTGAAGGTCGACATCCAGTGCCTGCAGGACCATTCACGACGGAGGATGAGGTTCTGGGTGCATTAACCAACAAGTTTTCACATCACTTCCCGGAACATGGGAAAGAGGCTTTCTACAGGCGGGTATTCCCTCTGGTTCTTCGCGGCCACCCACCGGTATTCACTCATGGAGACCTCCAGCGGAAGAACGTCGTCGTGCGGGACGACGGTAAAGTGGTGCTTATCGACTGGGAGGCAGCAGCATGGTATCCGAGCTTCTGGGAATACTCGATGGGAATGTTTTCGTGCGATTTCAAGGATGACTGGCAGTTATGGCTGGGCAAGGTTGTTGATGAGTGTCTGGGCGAATTTCCATGGATGAACATGATCTGGCGGGAGGTTTTCGGCTGATAGATGAAGATGAGGTAAACTCCGTTCATCCTCAATACCGCATGACGCATGCAGAAATTGCCTGTGACAGAGGAATAGGGTCTAAAAAAAGAAGAGCTTACTCCGTACACGAGAGCTGCCAAGGCCGTCTCTACTCCGTAGCCCTAGCAGCGTCATCTTGTCTAGTCTATCTATCTAGTCTACCCCACCCCCCAGGGAGACTTTGGTGTATCCTAACCCCTAGGGAGACAGGGTGAGTGACTGTGCCGAATGCCTGCCTACCCATTACAGCTGCATACCCGTCACAGCAAGCTCCTGGGCCTGTTGATCCGCTCGCAAAGAACCAACAGCCATAGTTCAGTTGTCGGCTGGCCAAGTGCTCCACAGCCTTGCTGCCAACACACAGGCAACGACCCCTACCAGAACGTACTTTCCCTTAAGGCCGTTGGTGCTCCTCGTAGGATCGTCGAATCAGAGTGCGTGAGCGACAAGCGCCAGCTCCTTCTCACTTTTCACAGCCTCTTCTCATGCATGCTGGTGATGAATGTTTGTGTGAATGAAGCCATCGTGCCGGCGCCTAGTCAGGTATTCTGTGAAAGTGACGAAATGGATAGTTGGACCGGTTTCTAAAACCTCGTTGGTGATAAGTTGGTGATAATTACTCTCAGCTTGGACCTCGCACGCGGCCGACGTGCTATGTTAGCCTATCATAGAGACCTCAAGTGGGCGCGAAGCGGAGGTCCACGGGTTATCACGATGGCTAGAGAGGTTGGTGATGATGGGCATGTTTAGTGAGCTGCTGAAGTATAAAATCCTCGTGGTGTGAGCGTTCTTGAATATCGAGTTTCGATCAGGCCTCACAGCATCATTCACTACCGAGCATCTCGCTACATACACATACACTTCAACACTACCACTGAAGCACGTTTCGAAGTCCAAGCCAGCCAGACACCAGTGAGTTGACAGAGCACGCCTTCCTACCGGATACATGGACTCGAGGACTGATGGCATAGCAATGACGTACTACGATGTCTATCTTGTCGAATACCTGGGAGCACCCCGTAACCACCACGGCATCTTCGTCGAGCATGTCAAAGAAGGTGGCGGAGTGCTCTTTCACGTCGTTGGAGACATTCAGAACGGAATGAGCTACGAAAGCAAAACACTTTCCAAAAGGCCTGAAGAATCCATGTCTTTCTCCTCCAGGGCGTACCTTGGTCGAATTAAAGTTGCGGATGCTGGACGCTTTGATGCGGTTTGCCGAAGCATCGCGCCGCCCGCGAAACAGTTCCACGGCCCCCGCAAGCTTGACCCCAGTGCGCCTCTCAGGCGCTGTCAGGAGTGGACGAGGGAAGTGATCTCGGCTCTTAGAAGTCAGGGTATCCTCGTGGCATAATGACGGAACTCGCAGTCTGAGTTTATCAAGCTGGAACTGAATGTAGATAATTTCCTTCACATGTGGGCGGGCTTGGAGCATCTTTGTATAGAGCACCCTCAAAGCCAACCCTTCTCTTTCGAGAATGATCCTGGTGCCCCTGGTGGATAGGATCCTGCTGGAGGCAACAAGCAAAGGCTGCTGGGGAGGGATCACTAGTGCAATCGTTAGGTCGTGTTTCCGTTCTCTGTCTAGGTCGTCGTGGAATTTGAGTTGCAGGCAACCAAGATACTTACTTACCTTATCCATCGTGATATTATTGATCGGGCCGTTTTAACGTATTGATGAAAGTTGTCGGCTCGCTATATTAGAGACGAGCTTAGTGTCGCACGTTAAAAGGCACTTAGATAATTAACTTAGTAGAGCAGAAATCTCGTGTGTGTGTATTATATTAAGTTATATCTAGGAGAGTCTCTTATACCCTTAATTTAGGTGGTGAAGACTCTGTTATAGGTACTAAGTTATTTGGATCCTATCCGGTCTTTTCCGGTATCCGCCCCTATTATATCCTAATACCCGAGGTCTCCGATATCCGAAGCCCTTAGTTATAGCGTGGATCCCCCCTGGATCCCCTATAGACCCTGTTATAGTCTGTGAGCCTATACGATACACCCCCTTAGTTAAGGTGGGTCTTCCTAGGTTAACTAACTAATTAGAGGCTTCGGTTTAAACTAAACGCTCTTAACTTTTCTATCGAAAAATTAACCGTTAGGGGAAAACGCCCTCGTAAAAGGGATCTAAATCCGTCCTATTTAACCGTTTAATTTAATTCTATCTTAATTAGTTCCTTAATCCTAATTAGCCGGATCTACTTAATCGGATCTATATCCATTAGATTTACTACGCCCTCGGGGGCCTTTATAGTCGCTGCGGCTATAGCTTTAGTATATTTAATCTCTTTATATAATCGTTTAGACCACTTAATCTAATCCTTATAATTAGTTAAATTAAGCTATTATTATAATCTTTTAATCCCTGCTTCCGGTAATACCTTTATTAAACCGTCCGCGATTATCTCTTTCGTGTTAACGTATATAACCTTAAAAAGACCTTATTATACTAACTAGCGCGCTTACTAGTTATATATATCGATATACCGTAGCCTTATTCGTAGGCGTTATGCCTTCTTATTAATAAGGTTAATAGTCTACTAATTATCGTAGTATAGCTATAGTTACTATTAGTCTAACCGAAGCTCTAAATCCCTTAATATCCGGCTAATAAATAACGTCTTTTTAGCTGCCTCTATACGAGCGAGTAGTTCTAATTCTATTAACGACGTCGTGACCGTTAGTTACTTACCTGCCTTCTAGTTAACGGTTCCCCCGAAGAGCTTTATCGTATATCCTTATAAACTCTTACGGTCTGGATTATCCCTAAAGGACGCGTCGCTTACTATTAGGAAGAGCCTATCCCCGCCGAATTCTAGGTAGTGGTGTCTTATATAGTATAGGAATAGCAGCAATTATTAAGCCCTCTTAAGGTAGTTAGAGGAGGGGTTAATATTGTATTAGGAAAGCTTCGAATAGGCGAACGCGACATCGGGTCTTATAATAATAACGGTATACAGGATAGAACGGAATATACCCTAATACGAACGGACCTCGGGAATTAACGCGCGTATACTATCGCGTGGTATTAACAGCTTTATAGTTAATAATAAGACTTTTAGTAGTTTTCGGTAAAGGATATCTATATAGTTTTCAACCGCGATCTTCTCTATATAGGAGGATTATAATAGCTATAACCTATATATAGCTTTATCCCTTAAAACCTTAATTCCTAGGAACTAATAGATTTTATCGACTCCCGATAACCTATAGCTTTATTTAAGAGTAGCCTTAAGGTTATCGGCGTTAGTCTTATAATCTCTATAATAGATAAGTCCGATATCGTAAATATAGAAGAATAGGATTAAACTATCGCGGATTATAATATAGGGGTTATTAGGTATAGCCGTGAATCCTATCTTCTATAGTGTGCCGCTAAATTCCTCTTACTATAGTAATAACGATACCCTTAAACCGAAAAGGGCTTTCCGTAATAGTAGTACCCTACCTAGCACTTTATAGCCTTACGGTATCTTTATAAATACTTCCTCTTTAAGCCTAGCGTTAACGAACGCGTTAATAGCATTAAACTACCTTATTTCTAGGTTATATCGGGCGGTAATCGCTATTAGTATATCAAAGGACCGCGAGGCTAATATAGCGGCGTAGTTACTTTTAGTTTCTAACCGTTTTTATTAATCCCTATATATTATAAGGCATACCTTATACTTAAGGAGAGTGCCCTCTTTATTAAATTTATAGGTGTATACCTATTTATAGGCGAGGACTTATTACTTATTAGCCTAATTACCGCCTACCTCCTACTAGTAGCCTATCTATTAGTAGCCCTTACCTGGTAATCTCGTGCCAGCGATACGACGCATAAGGTGCAGGGAGACGAGTGGACGGTGGGGGTAGCGGCGGATTATACCGGGTTAGAACACGAAGCGGGGGCGTAGAGCGGGCGTAACGATAACAGAGCGGGGAACCTATAGTAGAAGGCTAGGGGGTAGCCGGCCCTTTACCCTTATAGGCACCGGCACCGGCTCCCCTTTTAGTGATGGAGGTCTTATTGCTGGGTATTTAGAGGGGTAGGAAAGTTAGACCGAGGCGGGCGCTATGGGAGCGGAGCGGGGGCGGCGCGAGGACGGCGCGAGGACGGCGTGACCCGGGACCCCGTTAGATCCTCCACTATATAGCCGAACGATACCGGGGATCCCGCACGGGAGTTCTAGGGCCGTACCTATATCGCACCGACCACGTAAAACTTACCTTAAGAATAATAGCTTAAAGGAGGAAAAGAGGAAAGGAGGAAAAGAGAGGAAGAGAGGGAGGGTTATAAAAAAAGGGAGCGGTAGATTAGCCCTACGAGTTACCACGCCTTCTAGGAATAGTAGCCACGCCCGGCCTATACTATAGCGCCTTCCCCGGAGAGTATACGTAGCGCGAATAAAGGAGGTATATAACTAAATAAGGGCTACTATAAATAGTAGGTATATAAAGGAGGTTTTAGAATAAATAATAAATAAAGGAAGGAGTAAGGGGGGGGTAGGCGCGCCCCCCCCCTATAGAAGGGAGGGAGGGTATAAAGGGTGCCGCGGCGAGGGGAGAATAACCTCGCCGGATCCGGAATAAAGGAAAGGACGGCGGCGAGAGACCGTGGTGATAGCGTACCGAGGGCGCGTGCGACCGACACGGCACCTACTAAACTAACTAGCTGACCCCCGTTAGCTATTAGCCTGGAGGTAAGATCCGGTTTTCGAATAGTGATAAAGACGGGGCCACGGAGCGATACCGTAGCGGCCACGCACGATAGACCTGCTTATATAATAAGAGCGTAGGGGTTTTTATCTATTAACGGTTTCCCCTCGAAAATTAGAGAAGGACTATTACCTAGGTGGCTAGCCTAGCTTAGCGAAGCGAGAGCAGCGTAATAAATAATAATAATATTAGTAGCCCTTAAGGTATTCCCCCTTAGCCTATAATTACCGCTCCTATAACGGGTAAAGGCGTATATCGTGGTGGTGGTTTAGTAAAGGCGGGAGATCCTCGCGGGTTAGGCGCGATAACGGCTAGGAGGTGTTAGAGGGGGAGGGATTTATAGCGCCGGCGCCGACGTTACTATTATTAACCGCTTACTTCCTTATACGTATAGGGTTATAAGTCCTTCTAGCATTAAAGAACGCTTTCTGGGTATTATCGTTCTATACCATCTTAGTCGTATAGAGGCCTATAATAGTTCTCGTGATAGATAGGCGTGCGGGTAATAGGCGCGCGGCTAATAGTTCTTGAATAAGGACTATATTAGCCGAAGCCTCTAAAACCTATTCTAGGATAGCCTTTTACGCCGGGGTCTATTTATCGACGTTATATTAAATAAACCGGATATCTTTCGAACTAAAAGGCCCTTTATTTATGGAATTTAGGGTTTTATAGCTTAGAAGACCTTGTAGTCCCTGCTAAAGGGGGGGTAATCTCCCTCGTAGTTATAGCACTTATAGGTCTTATGCTCGTAGTCTCCGTATTCTTTATACTCGTTATAGTAGTGGTATTCCTCCCTATAGCCTTTAACGGCATAGATAGGGTAGGTAACTAGGCCTTTATAGGTCCCCCGGGTATACCCGAATTTCTAGTAGTTAGAGCATTGGGTTCTAGGGGTTATAGGCCTATATTTATAGACCTTTAGCCGCTGGCCAGCTATATAGAGCCCCTATGTCAGGCAGTATTTCTGTTCTTTAGTGGAGGGCATAGAAATAACCACTATACCGTAAAACGCGTCTAGAGCCCCTAGCTACCGAGGCTTCCCTACTACCCTAATAGGATTGAAGGTGCCGATTTCGGTAGCTAGGTCCTGTAGACCTAGGCCCTGTTATAGGCTTCGGTTTAGGGCCTTTTACGGCGGCTCGGAAGGGTCGGGTAAAGGGGTACCGCTAGCCCTAGCCCTAAAGGCTCTAAAAGGCACCTATTTAATAATAAGCTTAAACCAGTCGCCTATAGGCTAGGAGGGCTGGAGAGGGAGGTTTAGCTCTTTAAACTACTGATTCTACAAGTCTAGGGCTATTAAACGCTATATTTCGGCCCCGGGGTTAAAATAAGATTCATATGAGTCGACCGGCTAATAGCCGTAACTGCAGGGAATTTTAGGGCCTTGTTTATCTTGTTCCGAAGCGCGTGGGAGTCGAAGTTTTCCCTAGGAATCGCTGCCCCTGCCGTAGGCTGTAGAATAACCTTAGAGACCTTTTTAGGGTCTACTAGGAGGGGTGCTAGGGGGAGGGGGGCTAATAGTGCTAGAGCTGGAGCTGCTGGAGTTGCTGAAGCCCCTGAAATAGGGGCCTGGGTAGGGCCTTTGTTTTCCTTTATAGCCTCGCTATAAAGGGGTTTAGGTAGTTCTGTAAGCCTGCAAACTGCCTAGGCTAGTTCGTCGAGCTTCTATTTAAGGGTGGGGGGCTAGGAGCGTTCTGGTACTCCGTCGATAGTAGATTTAAGCCCTACAGATAGGGCCTTGATCTAGGGGGCGGGGTCGAGGGTATAGGCCTGTTGAAGTAGCTGAAGAGCCTGTTAGAGTAGTTCCTTAGCCTATGCCTTATTACCCGAACTAGTCGACTTCTGGGGCTTAGCCGAGGTTTCTCTAGTGGCTCTAGCTATTCCAGGCGCCCTTTTAGCCTATTTAGAGCCTAAACGGCTCGGTTTCTTAGCAGGGGGGCCCCTAGAAGCAGGGGG